TTTGCCATGGAGGGCAGTTATTTATTTCTTGATTTTTACCTGCAGATAGAAAGAAAGATTTAAAATTAATAATCATAATAACAGTGATCATAGGAGCCATCATCTTTTGCATCTGGACATTGTTCTTAAGAAGGTGGATGGCAGCTAAAGGAAAAGGTAGTAAGCATACTAATGCAGTTTTCATCTGTTTTACTGTTTTAATTAGCTGTTTGAACTTGAGAATTCATGATTTAGTAACTCTTAATGCAACATTTGCTGCTAATCTATTCAGCATGGAAAGAAAAAAGTGAAGAAATGTTGTTTGATAGAAGGAGAACCACCACAACTGAAGTTAAACTCCAAGAGTTACCACTGTTAAAATTTGAGGAATTGGCAACTGCAACGAAAAACTTTAGTCTTGCAAATCAGCTAGGGCAGGGAGGTTTTGGTCCAGTGTACAAGGTAAATGTTAGTTTCCAGCAGTTTATATTCTCTCAAATGAAAATTTGTGCTAACAGTTATCCCCTTTTCTAGGGAACATTGCAAAATGGGCAGGAAGTAGCAGTAAAAAGACTGTCAAGTGCATCAGGACAGGGATTAGAGGAATTTATGAATGAAGTATTTGTCATTTCCAAGCTCCAACACCGAAATCTTGTAAGGCTACTAGGCTGTTGTGTGGAGCGAGAGGAGAAGATTTTGGTCTACGAGTTCATGCCAAACAAAAGCTTGGACACATATTTGTTTGGTTAGAGCATAATTCATCCTCCTTTTCATTTGGTTATAGCATGCATATAAGGCTTTTTCCTTTTTTGGTTTTCACCAAAACCTTAGGAACATAAACATAACAATCTATATATCATTTTCACTGTCCAAAACATTCATTTCTTTTATTTTTTTTGGTAGGGGGTAATGGCCTAGACTAGAGCATTCATTTCTGATAGTTATAATGCTTGGTTTTGTTCTTTTCATTCTAATTTCCACCTTTTGGTTATATGATTGATGTAGATCCATTCAGAAAAGAATTCCTAGATTGGAGAAAACGATTCAATGTCATTGAAGGAATTAGCCGAGGTCTCCTTTATCTACACAGGGATTCTAGACTATGGATTATTCATAGAGATCTAAAAGCAAGTAACATCTTGTTGGATGAAGAGTTGAATCCAAAAATTTCAGACTTTGGAATGGCTAGGATTTTCAGAGGAAATGAAGATGAAGCCAATACTAGAAGGGTTGTTGGGACATAGTAAGTTGAATCTTCTTAGACCATAATTTATTGACAATATTGCTTCACGTGCTAAACAAATTCAAGTTTGTGTTTTGACGTTGAAATGCAGTGGCTATATGTCTCCTGAATATGCAATGGTAGGATTATTTTCAGAGAAATCTGATGTATATAGCTATGGTGTATTATTACTAGAGATTGTTAGTGGAAGAAGAAACACAAGTTTTGGTAATGATGAGGATACTTCAAGCCTTCTGGAATATGTAATTTAAGCATCATTGCCAATCAGCACCTTTGTTTGATTTCTCAGTTCCATCTTCAAACTAATCTTTACACTTTCCAGGCTTGGAAATTGTGGAATGAAGACACCGTTTTGGCAATGGTAGATAAGTTGGTTTGCAATCCATGCCACTGTAGAGAGATTCTAAGATGCATTCATGTGGGATTGCTGTGTGTGCAAGAAATGGCCAAAGATAGACCAACAATGTCCACCGTCATTTCAATGCTCAACAGCGAGATTGTGGATCTTCCTTCCCCAAAACAACCTGCTTTCATTCTAAAACAGATTGCAACAGATGCAGAGTCCCCTTCTCAGCATGGTCAACAGAGATGCTCCGTAAACAATGTGACTGTTACAATTGTTCAAGGCAGATAAGATGCAAGTTTAGGTTCTTTAAATTGTTATATATAGTCTTTTATTTTTTTTTTCTGTAAATTAAATTCCAAATAATCAAGAGCTATCCTAATCTTGGTATGATTGGATAACTAAAATATAAATTATTGATTCTACTACTAGAAATGGCTTTTGTCTAAAAAAAAAATTTCCTAATGTTCGGGAAAAACATACGGTTCCAAAAACGGAGTTGGTTGGAGGAACCATACCTTTGTCATAGAAATCGGGAGCAGAACCGTTGAGAAGAATGCTTTCATCCATTTGGAAACAGGAAATCGGAAAACAGAGAAAAATAACGAAGAAAATATACACACACAACCAAAGTAGTGTTTATAAGCGTGATTTTTAAAATTTTTTTTAATAAAATTATAAAAATACCTTGTTTCAATCAAGCAAAAAATAATTTCATCAATTTTTTGAATAAAAAAGTATTTTATAGCTGTTTTTTAAGATCTTTCTAAGGATTTTTAAAAAAATTTATGTTTTAACTAATATTTTTAAAAATTAATTATTAAATTAAAAATTTTATTTATATAATCTTAAATTTTAAATTATTGTAGTAGGTCTAATTATTTTATAAATTATAAGAAATTTAATATTATTATATATATTAATAAATAATGTTTCTTTGATTAAAATTGATATATATATATAGTGTTAAATTAATATAAAAATTGATATATATATATATATGCGCGCGAGAGCATAGATCTATTTCTATAGAAATTTTATATACCACAAAATTATAAAATCTTGACTATTTATTTTTCATTTTCAATCGTAAAGATTTATTATGATATTTTAGATAAAAAAAATAATTATTTTTAATAAATACACTAAAATGTGAATAAATATAAATTATTAAAAATAAAAAGATGAATAAAAAATTTCATATAAATGTAGAGTGTAAGATGAATTTTAATTTTATATAAATAAAGATCTATTTACATATAAATTTTGCGTACTAAATATAATCATTAACTTTTATAATTTTAATAATTAATATTTATTATATTTTTAAAAAATAATTACTTCCAATAAATATAACAAACTAGTTCAAAGTTAAAAAAATGAATAATAAAAATTTTATCTAAATGTGATTTGTAAAGTATATTTGAAAATTTCATCTTACTATATATAAATAAACTTTCATCTTCCTATATATATATATATATATAGCTTCAGACGAATAGAAGCAAGAAACCCGCACATTGGAAGAGGGGTTTTTCCACTTGGTGGTGGTGATGGAGAAGAAGAATCTCATTTACATCAAGAATGGGGTTTTCACTCTCTAAGTACAGTTGGAGTTATGAAAGTATCAAAATCACAATACTTCTGTTATGCCTGAAGGATATTTTAGTCGTAGCACTGATTTAAATTTTATAAAAATTATTATCACTAGAAGGTAGTATAAATTTTGCTGCCGAAATTCTCTACTGCTGAAGAAATGAAGGAATTCATCAATTCCATCGGTAAGCTTAAATTTTGCTACTTGAGCTGTTTGTACTGCTTGCAATTTTTTTTTCTTTTTTTCTATTTTTAATGAAGTGTTCTTGGGGAATGTTTTGCTCACCAGGTGTTTGATATTAAGCCTGAGTAAGTTTCATGCTGACTTTTGGGTTAGTCTTTCCTAGAAAAGTTGCAGTTGACATTCTATTAGAGTTTTTCTTCAAATGATCTACCTTTTACCCAGAACAGATGTCAAAACTCAAAAGATTTAATAAGCAATAATCTACAATTCCAAATGCTAGTGGAAGTTTACCTGACTGAAACAATTATGAAATTGTTAAGATAATTTGTACGAGATTGGTCAAATTTGGTGTCCAAGATTTTCTCTTTTTTTTTATTTATTTATTATTACTATTATTATTTTGTATGTCTGGGAGCATAGATGTCAACCAGATGGTGGCTAATGAGTCAGCAAAAAAATATTATAAAAATAAAGTCTTTAGAAAAAGTCAAAAAATGTATACGAGATGAACAGACCGCCACTGCTGTTCATTACTTTATTCAAGGAGGTTGAAGAGGCAATGCTTACGTATCTTCATTTTGATTAACATAGAGGAATTACAAGTTTGGGAATGAGCAAAAGAATGATGTCACTAACTTTTCTTTTACTTTTTGGTTCTTATTTGCAGTTTGGCTTTTCAGCAGACACCATAACTCCATCAAAATCTATCAAATACCCAGAAGCTATAATCTCCAATGGCAGCAAGTTCCAATTGGGATTCTTCAGCCCTGCTAATTCTACTGATCTATACGTGGGAATATGGTACAAGGGTATTGACCCAGTAAAAGGCGCCATATGGGTAGCCAACAGGGAGAAGCCTCTGAAGGACTCCTCTGGAACGATGATGATATCTAAGGATGGCAATCTTGTTGTTGTGAATAGGCAGAATGAGGTTCTTTGGTCGTCCAATGTTGAAAAGCTGACAAGTAATAATACAATTGTTGAGCTCTGGGACTCTGGAAACCTGGTCTTGCTGGATAAAACCACTGGCGTGAACATGTGGGAGAGTTTCCAACAACCTTCTAATGTTTTTATGCCAACAATGAAGCTCGGTGTAGATTTAAGAACTGGTGAGAAAATCCAGATGATATCGTGGAAAAGCCCTTCTGATCCATCTGTTGGTAATTTCTCCTTTGGGATCGAGACTTTTAACGTACTTCAATTCTTCGTGTGGAAAAATTCTCAGCCATATTGGCGGAGTGGCCCGTGGAATGGTAGGTTGTTTGTTGGAGTACCACTTAGGAGATCATTCTATCTTGATGGGTTTAGACTCGAGGCTGATGAAAGAGAAGGAACCTTTTATTTTTCTTATTCTCTTGGTGGTGGTGAATCTTATTTGTTAGACTATTTCATGGATTCAGAAGGAATACTATTGGAAAGAATTTGGAATGGTTATGGGAAAGACTGTAACATTACATGGTCTACAGCACAAAACGAATGTAATGTTTATGGAAAGTGTGGGCCATTTGGAAGTTGTGATTCTCAGAAACCAACAATTTGCAGCTGTTTGAGAGGGTTTGAACCCAAGAATGCAGAGGAATGGAACAGAGGAATTTGGACCAGTGGTTGCATTAGGACTACAACACTGCAGTGCAATAGGACAAACAGCAGCAGAGAAGTAGATAAGGAGGATGGGTTTTTAAAGCTAGAGATGATGAAAGTGCCAGACTTTGCACAGCAGTCATCATACACTGAAGATGAGTGCAGAAACTGGTGCCTGAATAGTTGTTCATGTATTGCTTATGCATATGATGTCAATATAGGCTGTATGTCATGGAATGGAACCTTGATTGACATTCAGAAGTTCCCCAGTGGTGGGATGGATCTTTACAATCGTTTGGCATACTCAGAACTTGGTATGATATTCTTAAACTTGAAGATAGACAAATATGTTAGAAGTGGAAAGTTTGGTTTTTCTCTATTCTGTTTTGCCATGGAGGGCAGTTATTTATTTCTTGATTTTTACCTGCAGATAGAAAGAAAGATTTAAAATTAATAATCATAATAACAGTGATCATAGGAACCATCATCTTTTGCATCTGCACATTGTTCATAAGAAGGTGGATGGTGGCTCAAGGAAAAGGTAGTAAGTATACTAATATAATTGTTAATCTGTTTTACTGTTTTAATTAGCTGTTTGAAATTGAGAATTCATGATTTAGTAACTCTTAATGCAACATTTGCTACTAATCTATTCAGCATGGAAAGGAAAAAGTGAAGAAATGTTGTTTGATAGAAGGAAAACCAGCACAACTGAAGTTAAACTCCAAGAGTTACCACTGTTCAAATTTGAGGAACTAGCAACTGCAACAAAAAACTTTAATCTTACAAATCAGCTAGGGCAGGGAGGTTTTGGTCCGGTGTACAGGGTAAATGTTAGTTTCCAGCAGTTTATATTCTGTCAAACAAAAATTTGTGCTAACAGTTATTCCTTTTCCCTAGGGAACATTGGAAACTGGGCAGGAAATAGCAGTTAAAAGACTGTCTAGCGCATCAGGACAAGGATTAGAAGAATTTATGAATGAAGTATTTGTGATTTCCAAGCTCCAACACCGAAATCTCGTAAGGCTTCTAGGCTGCTGTGTGGAGCGAGAGGAGAAGATTTTGGTCTACGAGTTCATGCCAAATAAAAGCTTGGACACGTATTTGTTTGGTTAGAGCATGATTCATCCTCCTTTTCATTTGGAATTTGATTATAGAATGCAAATAAGGCTTTTATTTTTCTTTTTTTTTTTCCTTACCAATACCTCAGGAACATAAACATAACAATCTATATATCATTTTCACTGTCCAAAACTTTCATTCCTTTTATTTTTTTTGATAGGGGGTAATGGCCTAGACTAGAGCATTCATTTCTGATAGTTATAATGCTTGGTTTTGTTCTTTTCATTCTAATTTCCACCTTTTGGTATATGATTGATGTAGATTCAGTCAGAAAAGAATTCTTAGATTGGAGAAAACGATTCAATATCATTGAAGGAATTAGTCGAGGACTCCTTTATCTACATAGAGATTCTAGATTACGAATTATTCATAGAGATCTAAAAGCAAGTAATGTCTTGTTGGATAAAGAGTTGAATCCAAAAATTTCAGACTTTGGAATGGCTAGGATTTTCAGAGGAAATGAAGATGAAGCCAATACCCGACGGGTTGTTGGGACATAGTAAGTTGAATCTCCTTAGACCAAAATTATAGAAAATATTGCTTCACGTGCTGAAAAAATCAAGTTTGTGTTTTGATTTTGGAATGCAGTGGTTATATGTCCCCTGAATATGCAATGGTAGGCTTATTTTCAGAGAAATCTGATGTATTCAGCTATGGTGTATTATTACTAGAGATTGTTAGTGGGAGAAGAAACACAAGTTTTGGTAATGAGGATACTTCAAGCCTTCTGGAATATGTAAGTTAAGTATCATTACTGATCAGCACTTTTGTTTGATTTCTCAGTTCCATCTTCAAACTAATCTTTACACTTTCCAGGCTTGGAAATTGTGGAATGAAGAAAACGTTTTGGCAATGGTAGATAAGGTGGTTTGCGACCCATGCCACTGTAGAGAGATTCTAAGATGCATACATGTGGGATTGTTGTGTGTGCAAGAAATGGCAAAAGATAGACCGACAATGTCCATAGTCATTTCAATGCTCAACAGCGAGATTGTGGATCTCCCTTCTCCAAAACAACCTGCTTTCATTCTAAAACAAATTGCAACAGATGCAACGTCCCCTTCTCAGCATGGTCAACAAAGATGCTCTATAAACAACGTGACTGTTACAATTCTTCAAGGCCGATAAGCAGCAAGTCCTTAAGATGAG